TCAATGGCAGTCTGATTTAACCAGCTTATTACAATATCCTTGACTCCATCCACAGTTGGGTCAGTGTCCAGTAAAGAGAATAATTGTTGATCGAGGCCAGGTGAAGCCATTTCGAATACGTTTCTGGCATTACGTTGTACTAATTGATATAAACATGTGACTGCAACTTTCTTTAGAGGCAAATGCATACTAGAAAGTTGCGATTGCAAAAATCTAACTAAGTCAGGTAAATCTACATATTGATGAGCAAACATAATGAAATGCTGTAGACAACGAATAGATTCCACTATAACAAGTTGCTCATCGTCATTCTTTAATTCTCCGGTCAAATTAAGACAAAGATCTCTAACTACTGAATGAGCTTGTAATTCTGGTCCGAGTGTGCCAATAAGACCGAATATTATTTTCCCAAATTGTTGATAAGCTGATAACCCTAATCCAACATTCGTCGTTGCAACTGAACCTCCACCAGGTTCATGCGTTTCAGCCATATATAGTTTCGCAATAGTAGCGATTGTACTACTAACATACTGCGAGAACATTAAGCCAGCTGATTCGATAGTTTTAGCAAGTGCATATAAAGCCCAGAAATGAACTACAGGATGAGGATCTTTACTTAAGGAAAGCAATATGCCAACCAATGTTTTTAGGTGATTGCCCGCTGCCATCCCACCGACGTGGCTATAAATGTTTCCTAAAGCCAAAGCACTTCCGGCTCTTGTATCAGGATCACGATTATTCACAACTTGATCGACTAAAAGTTGAATTTGCGTTGGAATAAGGTTGCCACCTACAATACTTATCAAGCGACCTAATGCATCACTGGCTGCATTTCGTAGATAAGGATCCGGATGGACAATAGCTTCCTATAATCAAAGATATTTAAATCTATAATAAAGATGATCATTAATTGAAAAAGAGGTGATTTTTAAAGACCTGCCTGTAAAAGTTCCATAGCTAATGCGCCGACTTTCTTGTGAGCAATCATCGGAGTGCCATTATCACCACGCTTACTGGATGCTGACATAATAACTTTAAAAGTACCCAATAATCCAATCACCATGTTAACCTGAACTGCCATTTTTCGTCCAGGACTTTTTTCTAACTTTGGATGCCTAACTACTTTTATCAACTGTTCAAAAAGAGATTCTTGAACAGCTGCATTTTGAAGTGGAAAAACTGTAGCAAATAATTCAATACTTGAATCAACCAACGCAGTAGCCGGTGGAACGGGTTTTGGCAGTTGGAATGTCGAAAAAGATGATGACCAAAAAGTGGTGTAAATCATTAGTGAATCATGTTCGGGAGCACCCAACACCGGTTGTTCAAGCTAATCAACAAAAATTCAGCCTTTCGAGCAATAATTTAAATTGTCAACAATCTGAATAATAAATGAAAAGACATGCCTGATTTTCCACTTTACTTTCTACTAGATCTCTGTTAAGCCAATCTCTACTTGTGACAACATTGTCATCTGAATTACCATCAACATTCCGGAAATCAATATCCATTCCTTGTAATTTACTTGAAACGCCAAATGCATATTCATCACTCGCTGTCCAAACACTAGTAAAGCTGCCAGAAACTGCCGCAATTGCAGCCGTGATGGTTGATCCAACATGCTTCTCGGGATCCGCAAAATTAGACACGCTCATTTGCAATAATTGTGATGATAAATTTTCATAAGCTGACACTGGCCGAATAGCGACAAAACATTGGAATATTCTACGCCGTAGCATATTATCACGCTCGGAAAATTTCAAGGAAGATGGTAAAGATAAGGAATTAGGCTGAGGACTCTGAAATGATGAAGGAACCAGACTAATAAAAGTGAGGGTATTGTTCAATAGTGCAACAAGCCGTTTTGCAACATCTGCAGTCACCAATTTGGCATTGTGCAATAGAAAGCACAACATTGCACCCAAGACAGATTCACGGACATGGAACATAAAAGACCATTCTAATTCAGTGTGATTTGGATGCGTTTCTTTCGAGGATGGTTTCGGTAAAACAGTTTTCCAAAGCAACAGTAATTGTGGTAGATGAAGCTTTACGAAATTCGGGCCCAAACACATGAGAGATCCAATTAAAGTCCATCCTACTTGAATATGTAAACTTGCCACTCGCAACTCTCTGTTCGAACTTGCTTTGATGAGTTGCGTAGATAAAGAGAAAACACGCGCGCTCACTTCAAAATCCACATCAAGTGGTCTATCCCGAATGACACTCAATAAAGCAGCTAGACCATGTGAATGACCTAAAGTCCGTTTAAATAAATCTAAGGGCACAGATGGACCAATAAAATTATTCAAGTCTTTCAAATCTTTGTTAAGATGATCCAAGACGTTTGTAATGAGCTCAGATAATTTGGACGGTAATGAAAAGCATAAACATCGAAGACACCAAGCAGTTGAAATTTGAACAGAATAACTAGGATGACCAAGAAGCGTTATTAAAGAATCTATCAAAACATCCTAAAATAAATAATCGAAAAATGCTAAATAAAATTGGTTTGATGATTAAAGAATCTTAATAAAGATCAAGTGGAAATACCTGAACTGTACTGGCCGCACCACCTAAATCTAATAGCAATCCTGATATTTCGTTGACAGCACATACAAGGGCCAATTTGTTAGGCTCTGTATCATTGGGCATTAGAGCTGGCCATTTTTTGACCCAGCCATTCACTAATTCTCGAACAGCAAACACTTGGCCTTGCTCGCTTAGTAATCGTGTTCCGATAACATCTCGCAATAATAATCCACAATGTTCACGGACACTAAGCACTTCGTAACGAGAAGATGCATTTCTCGTATTTGAAACAAGGTCACCCAATAAATGTTGGGCTATGGTTGCATAGTTGGATTCGACATATTTTGTTCCTAATTGTATAAATAATGTAGAATAGGTTTCAATAATGGCCGCACGCATTTCACGTGTTGTCGAAGATTTATTATAGAATAAAGAGAGATGCGATAGCATTTCATTTGGAGATATAAACGGCGACTTTGCGGATTCAGGGGGTACAGCTGAAGTTGGACTCTCTGGCGTCAAGGTAATGTTCTGGTTATTCGGTCCAGATGATTTTCCAGATGACTTTCCTTTCGGAGTAGTAATATTAGATGGAGTAGAGGTTGGCATTAAATTATCAGTGTCTTCTTGTGTGCTGGCTAATAAAGTTGCAATAAAAGATGCAACAGCACGACGTATTGTTTGATTTGAACCGTCCAACACTTTAAACATTTGATTTAACATCATGTCCAATTCACTGATAGGAGCAGATTGAGGGGCGTATTTAATAATGGCACGCATACACTAATATTTAATAGCCGCTTAGTAATTAATTTGATGGATTTATACCAAATTTTTTTATATTACCTCAACTGAAGCAACTCTGACAATGAGAGCTTTGTCGGTTAAACTAAGTTTCAAACATTTAGTGATGTCTTTAATAACGGGCTCAGATGCGCCTTTACCGGCCCCTTCTAAAGCTCGTGTTATCGTAGATATAGCCTCCAGCCGAACTATGAGGTACTAACAAATGAGATATTTTAGAAATACTTCATAGTAAAGCAAAAGAAAGTGATGAACTCTTCTTACATTCGCTGTATTCTTTATGGTTTTCAAACATATATTAACGGTTTCAGGCAAAAGTGATAAAACTTTATCACCAACTGATTTCATAATATGTCCAATACAATGTAAAGCCGCCCTAAAGTTAAGATTGAAATTGATATTACAGCATTGTTGAATGTCAATTACATCAAATTTTAAGAGTGCCCTTTTTTTGCTCTTACATTTTCGTCTCTTTCTCTCCAGTTCCTTTCCCTGTGCCTATTAAACTTTGCAATGCAGTAATAGTATCAAATAAAGTTCGCGTATCACCATTCTTATATATGATTATAAAACATCTCGCAATAATTTGTCGAATGGGGCGATGAGGTTTTGGAGAGGAAAGTGAAATGAATTTAAGCAACTGCTTCTCGAGATTGGCTTGACTATCTTTAAGCGTCTCCTGTAAGGTATGATTCGATTCAAATAGAGTACAATATATATTTTTTAATTAAGATAAAGGTACAAATTTATGTTTTTGAAAACGCATCCAATTAGATAGATAAATTATTTTGATACAATCAACGGATCTTTTATTGATTTTTTTAAAAGTCTTAGCAACAGATTTAAAGGGAAAATTTACTTTGAAGAAAAAATCTTTGAAATTCTACGTATACATCTCTCAAGTATCCTATAACTAAAATTTAGAGAATTTAATTGAAGGTATCCTGCTTGATAAAATCAATAAAGACAAAAGCTTTGATCATAAGCCTGCTCAATAACTGTATCAATCATTACCTTAGTAATCTTTTTCAGCTCTCTTTCTAAATTTGCCAGCCAGTTGAAGAGGTATAACTCTTGCTTTTCAGGGTTTTCAGCAGTTTTGAGCTTTTGTTCATCGAAAGATAAGCTTTCCGGTAACCCTAAAGAGGTTGAATCTTTCGGAGCCGTCGAGGCCATCTCTCAAAAACCAAAGCTGTGAACAATAGGGACAGAAAGTTATATGACTTTATCACATGATACGCACAAAGAAAATATGATTGGCGGAATAGTGATGCGCGACATAAAAAAACACCTCTACAGAAAATTTCTCGCTATTACTCAAGAATGACATATTTTAATAGCGAGCAGGATCAAAATATATTACCTCATGATTATCTCGACACAGATTCTTTTCTTGCGGATGACCAGGCGCGTCTCTAGTATTTTTTAAAGTCAAAAGTGAACCTCTCGAGCGTTATTAATTTGCAACTGACCAGGCGACCTTCTAAAGTTAGTCCCTGTGTTTTTCCATTTTAAAGGCCGCATCCCAAGTATCCTTTTTAGTAATAAAAATCATAATGGGGATATACATGTACGATTTTTTCTCCTTTACGTTGGCATTGTTTATTTCCCGGTTTTTTTATATTAAGAGGATTATGTCTTATTAGATTCAAGACGGGATGAAAATGGAAATGCCATATTGGATGGCTTATCCTTATGCTATCAAGTAAATATATTTTTGTTTGTCTATTTAATTCCGTTATGTGAGTTATTCAAAAATTACTATTATTTATTTAGTGAATATGTTGGGCTGGAAATGCCTGAAAGATATAATAAACGAGTGAGGAACGCGTTAAGAGCCGGGCCTATGAGTGTAAATCTGAGAGAACTTTGTCCTTATTTTTATCTGTTTGGATTTAAGATGATGGCAGAGTAATGCTGTTCTTTTTTAACGTACCATATACAAGATAGTTGACCAAAAATTCATTTAGATTTTTTTTTGATTCTTCTAATTTAGTCTTGATTTATCCACTTCTGTAAATGAAGAAATATACCAAAGGCTTGTAGATGTAAGTGTGCTATGATAAGGTCAATAGTTTTATTGGTTTAGAAAAATATTTAAAGAATTCACATTCCGTAAAAATTTAGAGTTATAAAGAACGAACTCGGGAAATTATCAATCATGCATTTTCTACGGACAGCAAAGAGGAATCTGAAATAGAAAATAAGTTTGATGAAACGGAGAAGCAATGTATTTCATTATTCGGGGGGGGGGGTTTTTTTTAAAACATCTCTTAGGTATTTCTAATATTATATTCTCGCACATATATAATGACGGCGCGTAGTGTACAAATTATTAAGAGAGCAAGCTTTGAGATGGAAGAAAGGCGTAGAAAATGATTCTTCGGCTGAACCACAACTTAACGAGGAAGCAGATTGGGATAATATGGATACTGAAGATGGGGAATCAGAAGACGATACAGAAGTTGACGAAGAAAGTGATGATGACGACGAAGATATTAATGATGTTGAATCTTGAAAATTAAATTAATTTTGTATAATAGCTGCATACATGTAAGCATTGGCGACTAAAAATGATAACTACAAAAAAC